CCAGGATTCCTTCCTGAATCCAGGAGTAAGAAACCTTGTCATCTTGGACGATCTGATGTCGACATCAAACAAGGACCCTCGCATCAACGAATTGTTTACGGCGGGAAGCCACCACAGAAACATGTCTGTCATTGCCATCAATCAGAACCTCTACTACAATAAAGACCCCACACAGAGGAGAAATTGTCACTTTTTGGTATTGTTCAATAATCCAATCGATAAACAGCAGATCATGACTTTAGCCAGACAGATGTACCCTGAAAATGTTCAACACCTGATGAGACATTTCAAGGAAGCCACCACCAAGCCGTACGGATATCTTCTCGTCGATATGAAACCATCAACACCCGAGTCATTACGCATGCGCAGTGCCAGTGATATTATTTCTGGACAGCCTAAAAAGGGCAGAAAGACCAAACTAAGAATCATTTTGAGGTTGACACTCCGGCCGAGCGGACGTATTACCAGCAGCAACAACATCATCAACAACAACATCAAGAGCTGTTCTTAGAAACAGAAGATATGTCTGCCTGTGACGATTGTGGGATAGTGTTCCAAGACATACATGATTTACAAAGACACGTTAAGAGGTGGTGTTCGGAAAACGACTCCCTTAAAAGAAAACGAGAATCTATAGACGAAGAAGATGAGTCTAAACCAAAAAGGGGGATCGCATATGAAGATATGGAGTCCGGCGAGGAAAAAAGAGATACTGAAGAACACGAAGCTTTCGATAGCATGATGAATGAAGTCAGGTCTGCAAACGAGGAGAAATGGAATCAAAAGTATGAGAAATACGTAAATGAAGGTATGTCTGAAGGCGATGCCCAGGAGAAAGCAAACGAAAAGATGAAATCTAAAAACATGGATCTATTTAACGAAAAATACGAGTCTATGATAAGATATATTCTTCAGTTACAAGACGGATTGGTTCACGAGAAAGTCATGGAAGATGTCGAAGAATTCGTTGACGATGGTTATGAGGATCGCAAAGCGATCACGATGGCACTCAAAAAAGAACCGTCATGTCTTAGAAGAGATGTGGGATGATGATGATGATGATGGTGATGATGATGAATCCGAAGATGAGGATAATGAAGAGGAAGAGTCTGAGAATTCTGAAGAAAACTAATAAAAGAAACAATACATCAGAACGAACCTCATTATAACACCTGGCACTCGACGAGGAAGGATGCCTTCCTGGGAAGATTATTTAAGAGATATTTACTTCAATCCTACCAATGCTGGGAATTTCTCTGGACCAGACAAACTGTATAGATATGTAAGGAAAGCCGGGAAACATGTCTTCAGAAAATCAAGAGAAGAAAATGGCTTCAAAGACAAGAGCCTTACAGCCTTCAGAGATCCCTCCGACGTTCATTCAAACGAAATAGGACCAATGGTCTGCAGATCTCATGGACATGGTCAAGTTCAAAAGTGAAAACAACGTTAATTCCTACGTACTCGTGGTGATAGACGTGTTCTCTAAGTATCTGTGGATGAGGCCGCTAAAAGACAAGAAAGGGGCATCTGTGGCAAATGCATTACAGAACATTTTATATGAGGGGAGACAACCTAGTCGGATCCGTACCGATCAGGGCCAAGAGTTTAGATCAAAGGAGGTGAATGCTGTATTGAATCAATACCACATCCAGCATTTATATGCCCAAAACGTAACCAAAGCTGCCGTGGCCGAGCGTGTCATCAAGACTATTTAATCCAGATTGTATAGATATTTCACGCATAGAAGAAATAACGAATATGTAAAGAAACTCCAGACGTTTGCCGACAGCTACAATCAGACGTATCACCGGACAATCGGTATGGCCCCAAACAAATCTAACTAAAGACAAAGACACGTCTATTTGGTGGAGAATGTATTGGCCGAAAAAACAGCCAGTCTTACGAAAAACGAAGAAGCTTCGTTAGCCGTTTAAGTTCAAGGTGCGAGATAAAGTAAGATTGTCTCATTTGAGGAACCCTTTCTGACGAGAACACGACGAAAAATGGACGGGGGAGATATTTACCATCTCTCAAAAGATACTACGTGGAGGCTTGCCTGTGTACAAAGTCAAAGACTACGATGGCGATGAAATTAAAGGTACTTTCTATCAATCCGAGCTACAGAATGTTGACGTAAGGGACGACAATATGCTGAAGGTGAAAACCATATTGAAAACTAGAGGAAAAAGGCCGTAACAAACAACACTACGTGAAATGGCTAAATTGGCCTAAGAAATTCAATTCCTGGATACGCGCATTAGATGTAACCGATTTGTAGGTGAGTGAACTACCCTAGAAGATGTCAAGACCTCGTGTTATGGGAAAGAGCGTACATATAAACATATCGCTTCAGTATCATAACATGGGTGGTGGGTGACTCTCATGTAGATGTAAATATTAATATATTGTCCATGATAGAATAGGTCATATGTGTAAGGATGGATGTGGGATGGCTCTCCGACCCACGTTCATTCCATCGCGACGGGGAAATGTTGATAAATTGTTGTACATATATCGTCTTCTCGTTGTTGTTTTCATAACCGGTTGAGACCGATTTGATTATTTCTAAACATGATGCAATCGGACCGCTACAAATAGATGCAGTCAGGAAAAACCAAAATGGATGAGAACCCCCCCCCCCCCCCCCATACCCATGATATCATCGATCGGTACCCCCCTCGTATGTAGGTTGTCGCTATAAATAGATGCAGTCAGGAAAAACCCAAATACATGAGAACACCCCCCCCCCCCCCTGTTACGTCATCGATCGGTACCCCCCTGCCGAAGGGGGGTGCCACTAGGGGGGTGCCGAGAAGGTGGTAAGGATTATATAGGGGAGTGCACCGGATGACCCTGCGCCAAAAGCGGCACTTTCCTACTACTAATCACAGTCAGATATTGTCGGTATCGCTAATAATTATAATATAAAGCCTAATTTACTTGTTGGGATTGGGTGGTGGTTGAGGTGGCAGATTTTGTTTACGTAATAGATACTGATATGACGTTAAAGAAAACAAATGGGTAACGCCATTAATAGCAAATCATAGCCAGCAAAACCTTAGACAACGTTATCCACCAAAGCCAGAGAAAAACTGAAATTCGGCAAGTGGTACCTGTGTAGCGTCCAAATGTCCCAACATGATGCTGAGCCATTTTTTTTCAATGATATTTACTTACATCTTATGAGGAATTTGTGAGACAACCAACAGGTTGTCGCTATAAATAGATGCAGTCAGGAAAAACCCAAATACATGAGAACCCCCCCCTGTTACGTCATCGATCGGTACCCCCCTGCCGAAGGGGGATGCCAGGGAGGTGGTATGGATTATATAGGGGAGTGCACCGGATGACCCTGCGCCAAAAGCGGCACTTTCCTACTACTGTGAATAGAAGACGAATACATGTACGAAATAGAGAAATGACTCACCGGTTCTATGTGAACGTTCAACTGAACAATATCGCAACTCTTTTGCAAAAACGTCTTTGAAATCAAAGACTTCCGCCTTCGATTTTGTACTAAGCGTGTGATCCTTGGATTTCGAAATTGCAGGAAATAGAGAGCATCACATATGATTGTGTACAACAGATCGTACACACATTCTAATTCGTTGTCATGCGCTAAACTTAAAACATTCCACATCTACAAGTTTCTAAACTATACCTTAATTTCGGCCGGTATAGCAACATGCGCACTAAGTGCTGAACTACATGTTATTATATGAAGTTATTTATAATTATTTAAGCTTCCCATAGTGGTATAACATGTGGTTCTAAGTAATCAGTTAAAATATATTGAGTCTAATCATCATTACTTTGTATAATGTTGTGTCGTAGATTTTTATCCGTAATCCGCGCTCCGCATCCGCAATCGCTGTCGCCTAGTCTCGTGTGTTACTTTCGTTTTGATGGAATGTATGTGAGTGTGACGTGATTGTGTATGTTTTTTTTATACCTGTTGACCAGTGCAACTGACCTCTGACACCTGTCGAATTGCGTGATATTTCCCACGTAAATGTTTCTTCGCTTCTTTGCGTTTTTAATCACTTCCTAACTGTTGCTCGAAGCGGAAACATCGTTGTACTTCCAGATTAAAGAGATACATACATAAATATAACCTTTCATCATGATTATATCAGTTGATCCCCGGTACCACATACAGCATAAATAAATTACCAACTGAAATGAAGGCATTTAGTACTCAACTTTTGTAACAGAACCCAAACACCACGCATTTTTTTTTTTTAATCTTAAGCTTTTGTAAAACTATTTAATGAACAACTTAGCAAATATGCAAATACTATTTGTTATAAAGGTAATTGACCTCATACCTCAAACTACTTTATGTGAAGTTATCTATGTTGTGACAATAGTCAAGATAATTTGCAGGTTCATGAACGCATGCATCATACTATAATTTAACGGATACGTACAGGTACACCTCACATTACGACACGTACCGCGGTACGATACTTACGATACGATACGTATCACGATACACATTTCTGCTTGAAAAATCAACTTTATAATGATTAAGTGCAGGATTTTACAGGGTCTTGTCATGAAAATTTAAATTGTAAAGATTATGAATATTCTTTTAAATAAATGACATGTTTCACTTTCATTCTTTGTTTTTCTGTTATTTTTAACCTTAATACATACAGAGCACATCCTTATATGTTTTGATGCAGAGCTAAAGGTAAATATTATGAAAAGATATTTGTATAGGAGTTCAGTACTTTTGGGTATAACTGCACAGTGGACTACATGTACATCTTTACTTCAGGAATTTAAAACAATAAGTACACTTTTTCGATATAAGTGAAGAAAAGAGTGATAGGTTCAGTATTGTTATAGTGTATCGCTATACAGTCAACCAAAATAATTCGATCATATACTCAAGAGAGGAAACGATATGATGCGATGTATCGTTTTAACTTTTATGTAAATCTTATCTGTATTACGTCCCTTTTTTCATTATAAACTACCTTCTAACACAGATGCTGTCACATTGACGGGGTCGTCTGGGTACGCTGTCCCCGGGAGTGAGTTTACACTGACGTGTGACGTACCAAAGGAGGCAAACAGTGTCCAGTTGTACCGCCGTCCTGACGTGACTGCTATACTAGGTTATATACAAGTAGCTGTTGGTCAATGTTACAACACCGCTCCTACTACTCCTGTGCTCTGTAGCCCGGATGTCTGCTCCTGTACTACCACCTCGACTAACTACGGTACAGTGTTCCAGTGGGTCATACAGCCACAGACAGGGGACCATGTATCTGTGTGGTATTGTCGTCGTACCAACCCAACTCTACCTGAAGCTGACAAGGTTGTAAACAGTCCTGACTACACGCTTAACGTGGCAGGTAAGTACATTGTTGTTGTGTTTACAAAAAAATATCCATCTAGAAAAGCTAAACTTCAGAATGGCTATATGTTAATATTTGAGTTGGATATCAGGGGCCATAGAAAAAAAAACGGGCTTACACATACAAAATCCGTGCCATTTGTCAAAAAAGTAGACACTGAAATAAAACAAAAGATGACACAATGTTATCAAGAGAATATCTTAATCGACCTTTGAATTAATTATTTACTAAATACTTATAAAACTTCATCATACTTTCCGGAATATTTAATATGTCATGGTCATCTGTTACTTCCAATCCGGTATTTTCGGTGTTATAGTATGCTGACAGGAGTAAACTTTCAAAATGAAGAAGGCTTCCAATAGTTCAAAAAATATATTAACCTTCTTCAATCAAAAATCACGTAATACTGATTCAAAAGGTGACACAATTCCTGCCACGACGTCGGTTACTACATTGTAAAAACCCGGTACATGCAAATATTGCTGATAATCTAACAAGTCCATCGGCAGGCCCAATTATCACACAGCAAAGCACGTGCTTGGACCCTCCAAATCCAAGAAAGACACTCCAGCAAGGACCATTATACATTCACATGGGATTTAATTCCCAGCAAGAAATCAACTCAGAACAAGTTTTCCACAATCTATTGACGACACCGTCTCAGTGACGGGGCCTGAACACATTTGGATTTCCTTCAATGCAGTTCAGACCGTTTTGGGTTTAACGATATTGTCGATAGAAAATACAAGAATTTATTTTTCTAATCAGGTGATTTGACGAAGACTTCTTATACATTCTCGCAGGGAAAATATGAATTAGTATTATCGCAAAAAGAAGTGGGACCCAGAACTTCTCCGTCATGGCATTTAGACTGGTTAGATAGAAAATATACTTCTGGTAGCATGACTGCAAAAATAGGGTAGATTGGTCGGGATTTATATACTTTTCTTCCACAATCATCATAGGTTTCCTTATTCCCGATTTATTGGAGAAACATGCTAGGAGTTGATAAACATTTTTGGTTACCCGCTAGTGAGTAACACCCTGGACGTGATTTCATTGGTCATTTTTTTTTTACTTATGACGTCACGTAACAATGTTTTGCGACGTCATCTTCCATTATGACGTCATGATTCACGGCAATTGTTTCCACAATCGGATGCATACATAACGTACTTTCAAGGGAAACAGATGGCTTTCAAAATAAATATTAACATTATGGGAGAAAAAGGATCCAAACTCGTGATGGTAGAATACCATGTTTATCTAACTCTCGTTAGTTAATTTTAGAATTGTAAAAGACACTCGGTAAACCTCGTGTCTTTATTCAATTTGAAAATTAACTAACTCGATTTAGATAAACAAGATAACCAACCCTCACTCGATGGGGAACCTCTATATAACTAATAGAACTTTCAATTATATATTTTGCTCCTTCTGTTTTGAGAAGGACGGGGCTAATTCATTTGATTTTATGAGCTGCTTTTATTAACGTACTCAAAAGGCGCCTGATTTGATAAGCAATGTCTAAAATCATGATTAGAAAAGTAATTGATTCTAAATAAGACTAAAGTTAAGCGGAAGTCGGTTTCACTTTGTATTTTTTACTGAATAGTTCACAGAAAAATTTCTATGAATACGGACAACGTAGTACAGACCTTCATAACACAAAAGAATAGGAAAGTGTCTCTTATCTATCGACAGTTCTAGCTGTAAGCTGTAAATTGCATGTTGGCTGGGTAACGTGTAGTGTAAAATAAACATAAGTTATGTGATGTTTTTCATTTCAGCGCATTTGACCCTAAAATACATAAATGTATGTCTTTAAATAACTGTCTCGGATAACAATTTGAATACCTTGTATACCTTAGCATTCTGCCGTTAAGAAAAGAAAAACCTACTTCGGCTTAAAGTGAATGTTATCGTTAAACACCTTTCATACGTATTTCATGTATTATTTCGAATGCAAAGAAAAGTAATTATTACTTATTCTGTGTGTGTGTGTGTGTGTGTGTGTGTGCGTGTCTGTATAATACAAGTATTATTGCTAATGGTGAACAATATATATAATTGACTCAGCATTTATGTAATTGCAATCAAGGTAGCATTGCCGCGGAGTTTCCTCCCGTCTCTGTCAGTATGTGTATGTTACTTTCTGTGTCATGAGAGATCACTCTCCAAATATGTATGTAATATTATGTATTATATTTATGTATACCTATGGGTCGTAAGGCCCCCGGAATGAACTTGATAATCTTGAATCTAAATCTTGAATGCTTCGTCAAATCTTAAAAGTAATTTTCCGTCGGGGGGCTTGCCCTGCCCTGGACTCGCTGGAGGCCTGGGCGGCCCCATCACCCCTCGCCTGGGCTTACACATATCGATGGGCCTAGCTATGCCCCTGGATATTGTGTATGCAATGATCTGTGGCAGTTGTTTTCGTTGTGACTTGCGCCAACGTATGACTCTTCACAGACAACAGACATGAGGTGACAATCTCATATTTTAACTGTTAATACAAATATACATCCTTTCAGTGCAAAAGATGAAATCCCGATGATATTGTGTAAAGAGCGTAGGAGAATCAATATTATATATCAAAATATTGTTTACATTATTTTAACAGCACATATTGATGCATAAGTGTCTGATTTAAATTGTCGACTTTTAGCTTCGAGCTATGGGGAATTTCCCTTTAGCTCAGTGGTAGAGCGTCCGAATAGGAAGTCTTGGATCGCGGGTGCGATCTCCGGTGGAATCACACTACTCTCCCTGTTACACATGAATACATAATACAAATGCATTTGGAAAGTATGTTGCTATACTAATTCCTGTAACGAAATGCCTCTTGTTGTAACTGCAAATTATTTTTTTCACAAATGTTGACTTCAAAGTGCATTGCTTGTTTTGGTGTAATATTTAGTATTGTGACGTCATAATGTATCAGGATGTCATCATTTTCTAGGCCGTGTTGTTGTTCTGCCAACTTGAATAAGTAGTTAGGGATTAATGATAAACTCATTTCTTTTATATTTATGTAATAGTCGTCTTTACTCTCGATATACGACAACTCCCGGAGTAGTACAAAAGTACCGCTTTTGGCGCAGGGTCAGCCGGTGCACTATATATTCCTTACCACCTCCCGGCACCCCCCCTAGTGGCACCCCCCTTCAGCAGGGGGGTACCGATCGATGACGTCACAGGGGGGTTCTCATGTATTGGGGTTTTTCCAGACTGTCTCTATTTATAGCGACAACCTATATACGAGGGGGTACCGTTATGATGATGTCACGGGTTTTCCGCGATTGCACCACGTTTAAAAATATCGAAACCGGTTTCATCCGGATCGGTGATGTTCTCGAATGTTCTAATACAATAACAACACAAATATACGTACAACATTTTATTGTCTCTGTCGATAGAACAGACACGGGTCAGAGACCCATCCCGCGTCAGCCCTTACAATACAAAGCCTAGCATGGACAATATTTACATCTACATGAGAGCCATCTACCACCCGCAATACGGTACTAGAACGATATGTTTATATGTACGCTCTTTCCCATAACGCGGGGTCTTGAACATTTTCTAGGGTAGTTCACTCTCTTACAAATCGGTTACATCTGATGCGCGTATCCAGGAATTAAATTTCTTAGGCCAATTTAGCCATTTCACGTAGTGTTGTTTGCTACGGCCTTTTCCTCTGGTTTTCAATATGGTCTCTACCTTCCACATGTCATCCTCCCTTACGTCAACTTTCTGTAGCTCGGACTGATAGAAAGTACCTTTAATTTCATCGCCATCGTAATCCGTGACTCTGTACACAGGTAAGCCTCCACGTAGGATCTTTTGAGAAATGGTAAATATCTCCCCCGTCCATTTTTCATCGTATTCCCGTGTGAATGGATTCCTGAGATGTGACAAACGCACTTTATCCCCTACTTTAAACTTGAACGGTTTACGAACTTTTTTAGTCTTTCGTAAGATCGGCTCTTTCTTCGGCCAGTACATCCTCCACCAGACAGATGTTTCGTTATTTTTGTTAACCTTAGTTGGAGCTGTCCCAATGGTCCTGTGATACGTCTTGTTGTAGCTGTCGGCGAACGTCTGGAGTTTTGTCACGTATTCGTAATTCCTTATGTGTGTGAAATATCTATACATTCTTGACTTGATGGTCTTGATAACGCGCTCGGACACGGCAGCCTTGGTTTCGTTTTGGGCATAAAGATGCTGAATGTGGTATTGATTTAGGAGAGAGTTTACTTCCTTGGATCTGAATTCTTGCCCCTTATCGGTGCGGATCCTGCTAGGTTGTCTCCCCTCGCTGAGAATCTCACGAAGAGCCTTTGTTACGGATGCCCCTGTTTTGTTTTTTAGAGGTTTCATCCATAGAAATTTTGAGAACACGTCTATCACCACGAGTACGTAAGAATAACCGTTGTTTTCGTTCTGAAACTTGACCATGTCTATGAGATCGGCAGACCATTGGTCGTCGATTCCTGTCACCAAGATTCTGTTTCGTTTGAATGGACGTCGGAGGGATCTCTGAAGGCTGTAAGGCTCTTGTCGTTGTAGCCATTTTCTTATCTTGTATTTGCTGATGACGTATTTCCCGGCTTTCCGTACATATCTATACAGTTTGTCTGGTCCAGAGAAACTCCCAGCATTGGTAGGATTGTAATAAATGTCTCTTAAATAACCTTCCCAAGCAGACATCCTTCTTCGTCGAGTTCTAGACGTTGTATGAGGTTCGTTCTGATGTATTGATTCTTTTATTAGTTTTCTTCTACAGAATTCTCTGACTCTTCCTCTTCATTATCATCATCTTCGGATTCATCATCGTCATCATCATCATCATCATCATCATCATCATCATCATCATCATCATCATCATCATATAAATGCTCTTCGAGCTGGTGTCTGTATTTCCTTAGAGACATGCGTATCGCAGGGAGGGTTTTGTAACCGCTTCGCATATAATTTTCCACCGACTACATGATTTTTGTGTGTATTTCCCCACCTTTCAGCTGTAAAATATTGGTGATTGTTTTCCAATACAAATTGAGGAACTCCCTCATATCTTCTTCTTGCATCTTTTTATCAGCCTTACTCACAGCGCCTTTCTTAGACAGCCCGTTGTTCTGATATTTCTCTACCTTCTCACTCCATTTTTCTTCGTTGTTTGCGTTCGCTTTTTTACGTATCTCGTTGAAGTATTCCCCCTCTTCCGAATCTTCCTCAGTATCTGAGATATCGGGGTCATCAAAAATATCCAACCTCTGCCTCTTTGCCGGACTTTGGACTTCGTCCTGGTCCAGTTTTCTTTTACGAGAGTCATTTTCGGGACACCATTTTTTCACGTGTCTCTGTAAATCATGTATGTCTTGGAACACAATACCACAATCGTCACAGGCAGGCATTTCTTCTGTTTCTAAGGACAGCTCTTGATGTTGTTGTTGTTGCTTTTGGGTATCTTTCCGTGTGCCTTGTTGAGGATGTTGTTCACCTCCAAGAAATTCTTGCTGCTGCTGAGAATACGTCCGTTCACTTTGAGCGCTGCTTACAAACTGACTGGATGCTAGATTATGTGGCCCTTTTATAGGCTCGTGGGCGAACACTTCACTGCGCATGCGCTCTGACTCTGGTGTTAATGGTTTCAAATCGACAAGCAGATATCCGTAAGGCTTAGTGGTAGCTTCTGTGAAATGTCTGAACAAGTGTTGAACATTTTGCGGATACATCTGCCTGGCCAGAGTCATAACTTGCTGTTTGTCGATAGGATTGTTAAACAATACCAGGTAGTGGCAGTTACGTCTCTGCGTTGGGTCCTTGTTGTAATACAGATTTTGGTTGATGGCAATCACAGACAAGTTTCTATGATGGCTCCCCTCCGTAAATAACTCATTGATCCGTGGATCCTTAGATGCTGTGGACATTAGGTCGTCAAGTATGACAAGATTTCGAACCCTAGGGTTTATGAACGAGTCCTGATCCAAATCCAGCGGTATCCCCTGAATAAATTCCACGTTCGGTGAAACCGTTGTCTTGATGACATCATAGAGAGGCTGCCATCTTTTGTAGAGCCATATAATCTTTTGTGGAGGAGGTGATATCTTGGTCAAACAGTTTTGTAGGAGAGTCTTGACAAAATAGGTTTTCCCCGCAAGACGTCGGTCCGGATATATTTGCTGTGAATGGATGCTTGAAGACAAAGTACTGCTGCTACGGCGGCGGCGGCGGCGGCGGCGGCGGCGGATAACTGATTAGTGGGTATACAGGATTATTCCCCGGCGGCGGCGGCGGCGGCGGTTGTGTTGATAAATAGCCGTGTATGTTTTGTTGGTGTCTTTTCATCACGTCTTTTCTTGAAAACCAGCCTTGGCAGTCGGCACACTGTATCTTAGACATGTTAACACCTCGACGTCTTGTTGTCAAATGAAACATTTATGTTTTCACCCCTATTTATACTATCTCAAGTGTTGCATTGTGGGTAAAATTAAAAAATAAGACAATCGCTAGTTTATAACATTTTGTTACATAAAGCAAAGATACGTCATATGTACAATAAAGAACCTACTCTAAAATGGACAATATACACATTTAAATTTATCAGTGTCATCTACAACCCGATTTGCAGTTGAAACAGAATCTTTCTTGGGTAGTTCACACTTCTATTCTGGTATCCTCCAGTGTCCGTAGGCCTAACTCGATATTCCATTTTGTAGGAGATACCTCTTGTCGTAGAACGGTGACAGACCCCTTTTAGTCATGGATATATTGTAGATTTGACCGCCCTATTTTAGGCATTTTTTCAGTGTCTACCAGACACTGAACAAATACCTAAAATTCGATTTTTAGATTTGTCGTTTCTGAGCGTCGAACACCCATTAGTTACAGTAGGCCTATATATTACTAGCCACACGCACTTACCCACACGACTAATCTGCACACACCTGTCATGTGTATAATTTTCTAGGTGTGTACACATTCGTCTAGCTAGGTGGCGCTACAAGGCTCACAATAAACATTCGCCATTTGCATTATGTCGGTTGAATGATACATGGATGTATCAGTGTTAAACGGAATTGACATGATACCTGAAGGTTTGTTGTTTTAATAAAGATATTGTATATATTGATATTACAGTGTTTTTCCCGGGTTCGTTGTTTACTGGTTAATTACTTATAAAACCCTGTAACTTGAAAGGCATTATATAACTCTACATAATGATACATTCACACAATCACACGAGAAGATAAACATTCATACAATCACACGATGAGATAAAACTTGTCAAACATTTCCCAGGCCGTGGCCAGTCACATTAGTTACAATAGTTGAATATGTCTACATAACAACTGTGATATTCAATCTATATCTTATATAGAATTATCAGTTTATCTCATTATTCAACATAATTACAAATATATAAAACACCCATATCTTCAATGTGAAGAGGGTTTTCTCGGAAAAAGTCCGCCGAGTCCTCAGTCTAACTTGTTCTACCCCGGTCACACATTCACGAATCGTCTCGTCGGATCTACGACGGATGGAAACTCACGGAAAACCCCGGAATAGTCGATATCCGTGGTCCGTTACGGATGCACCACGGTTTGACTACGGATAGGGGTTAGTTGACAACGGGAGTGATACGGATTTCTATGGTTCGGTATGGATTTTAGTACGGAATGACAACGGTTCGCTACGATTTTAGTACGGGTTAGCACGAATTAGAACGGTCTGGTACGGATTGATATGAACTCGCATGGAGCGCCACAGACCTGCCACGGTAA